TATACAGTATACCCATGAGGACTGTTGCTAGCAAGGGGCTCATATCCTATGTACAATTGTTCTATGCTGTGTTTACCTATAATAGTTTTCCTGATCAGTGTCTCGGATATCTGTTTGTATCCTCACAGTTTAACTAAATACAAAAGAGTACAGCTGACCCTGGTTGGCTCTCTGCCAGGCCTAAATACAGTACAGCACTGATTTTGATATTTAAGACCCTTCACCGCTTTGGATATCAGTATATCAGAAGGATTATTGCTTTTTCCTCATGTGTGCCCCAGTTTTTGAGTGTCTTGGTTAAGTGAGGTGTGGCAGGTGAAGGAACCTTTTTAGTGTTCGCTTTGTGATTGTGGAAGATCTTACTAGAGAGATCTGCTTGGCACCTCCTTTAATGTTTGCTTGTTTTTGGTCCTGGCAACAACACTTTCATTTTCTTAGTCATGGAGATGTTGCTATTGTAACCATATTTATTTATTTATTTACATTCCCAGCTTTGGTATCTTTGTGTTTTGGTCTTACTTTGTGTTTTAATCTAGGGTTTTTTTTCTTTGTTATGTTGTTTTTCAATTAGTTATTGTTACTTTGTGATGAGCCTAAAGAACTTTTTGTTAGTGTGGAAAACAAAGAGAACAACTTTAAAAGAATTGCAGCAAAAGCATGGAAGGTGTATGGAAAACAATCTCCTTTCCTCCTTGTCTGTCAGGTTCTAAAATTCTGATCATTTTTTAAAGAACTAGCAACAGCAGTTTGCAAGGATCAGTATGGAGAAGAGTTGCGCTAGGGGATGGAAAAGACTAAGTTCTCTTTTCTAAATTGTCCCTTCCGAAACCTGTTCTTTTTAAGTGGAAACTTATTAGTAAAATGCCTCTAATTAGTAAAAGTGCAGGCGGGCCCCTGAGAATACAAGAAGAGCTCCAGCAGTCCTATGTCAGTAGCCCTTAGTCCTATGTCAGTAGTCACCAACAGTTGCCTTAGGAAATGAGCAGGACTAAAAAAGTACAGTGGTGCCTCACTTAACGAGCGCACCGTTTAACGACGAATCCGCATAGCGATCATTTCTGCACCCGGCGGTGCAGAACAGCTGATCGGCGGTTCCAAAATGGCCGCTGGGTGCAGAAAATGGCCGCCCGCACCATTTTCGCACCCTGCCCTCGCTTACCGGGCAGCGAAAATGGCGGCCAGATCCAGGATTATTCACTTACCGGTGAGTTTTTCCCCTAACAGGAACGCATTAAACGGAGTTTAATGCGTTCCTATGGGTTTTCCCCGCCCGGATAGCGAAGAATCCCGATAGCGACGTTAATCCTGGAACGGATTAACGTCGCTATGTGGGACACCACTGTATCTAATATGCCCAAAGGTCACTCTTCAGATGACCAGCCTTCTCCTTATCAATGGAGGGGACATCCTCCTGTTCCTGAGAGTTTTACAGAAACATTCAACCCTTCAACGAACCCATTAGCACATTCTTACCAGGCACCACAGAGGGTCTCATCTTGATAACAATTGCAGGGAGGGCTACACATAGGCATACATCTCTAGCTGAATTCATTCAGTGTTACAACATGGCTCTCTTGGCCAAAGTGGTGGTCCAGAAACCTTGGGGCTCCCTTTTGCATTGTTAACATACTTGTATAGGGTGTCCAGATATCTCTGTTGCATGCCTGGAGCCTTTCTGCTTAGGTCCACCCTTGAATTTCTTTCATTAGCAATAGTGTTTTGCAGAAAAAACATGATTTAATTCCCTCTTGTTTCCATTTGGGCAACTGTGAACATGTTCATATTGATCCCTTGGGGATGATTTACCCAAATCAGATGCTTGTTTCTGTGGGGTTCAGCTTGAAATGTTTAAAAAACATTTCATGGAAGACTATCTTGGACATCCTAGATTTCATCCTACTTCCTGTCAAGTGAGATTGGGCTTCCAGGATCTCATGACTATATTTCTCAATATCTTTGATGCCAACGTGCACCATAGTTCTGATACTGGGTAAAAATCACGCGGGAGGCCCGGGTTCATTTCCCGGCCAATGCACCAGATGTTACCGGCCAATTTGGGGTTTTGGTTTTCTGGCAAGGAATCAGGCAAGAGAGCAACAGCTGAACCAAAGGCCCAATTTTATTTTGAATAGCAAAGAGCAGAAAGGTCAGCTGAGATTTCCCTTAAAGCAGAGAAGACTCCGAGCATATAGAGTACATACATTTTATAATGATAGAGACAAAGAGCAATAAAACGCTACAATTCTATTGGTCATTTGTACCCCAACTTTAGATCCAGTCCCTCATTGGGCAAATGATGCCAACTACAGTGGTGCCCCGCATAGTGACGATAATCCGTTCCAGGAAAATTGTCGCTATCCGGAATCGTCGCTATATGGACCGAAAAACCCCATAGGAATGCATTAAACCCTGTTTAATGCGTTCCTATGGGGAAAAACTCAGCGCTATGGGGAAAATCCTCCATCCGGCCACCATTTTCGCTGCCCGGTAAGCGAGAGCAGGGCGCGAACCGCTGCGGGCGGCCATTTTCTTCACCCGGCGGCCATTTTGGAACCGCCGATCAGCTTTTTTCTAAACACCGCAATGCGAAGATCGGTAAGCGAAATGCTTACCGATCATCGCAATACGATTTTTAGGCATTAAAAACATCGCAACGAGATTGCTTTTGCAATCGCCAAATCCACATCGCTATGCGGATTCGTCGTTAAACGGGGAGCTTGCTATGCAGGGCACCAGTGTACGCTATTGGTTATACATAAATATGCATATTGTGCCCCCATCTTTCCTTGGCCTGTGCCCAAGATGCGCCTGAAAGTCTGGAGACAAGAGTATCCATTTCCCCTTATCTATTGGTATGTTCATGTGTTTTCTTCCTGGGGCCTTCAGTACTGTGAATCACTTGTGAATGTTACAACAATCATTGCTACCTTCCTCCTACAGGCATTCCAATGGTGGGCACCTACATCAAAAGGTGGTTGGGCAAAAGAGGAGAGTTACATTGTTATTCTATATTGGCCATAAATACTTTTGAGCTAGGTGTGAATGTTTCAGGGTTAGGCCTTTTTGGGGCCTGTGTCCCAGGCCTGTGTTTTCTCTTTGCCCTGTCAATTCTAAAATGCAGTTTCGTTTTTCACCTGGTATCAGTTCTGCACAGTGTTCCACTCCAGGGCTGTTTGGATGGCATGTGATGTCCACAACCTTAGCACCTAGTTTGCCATTCACCACACGGTCTTCAAGGCCAGTCACAAACCCAGCTGCCTACATTTCTGATGACCAGATTATTCACTGCTACCGATGTCCAACCTTCTGAGGTGTATACTATCAATACCTGTCAGTCTACCAAGGTGTATTTTTCTTCTAAGAGATCATTATCATTTTCCTCAATCTCTGTGATTGCAGAGAAGTTGAGAAACTGCACAGAGAAGATTGCAGAGGAGCTGTCACTTTGGGATTGGGATGCTTCCACTGCAGCTCTGAAAGCCTTATCTGATGACCTCTTTGCTTCTTTCCACTCCTTTGGGTCAGCTACCTAGACCTGAAGGGCACAAGCTTAACTCCTTGAGGCTGAGGGGTTCTTGGCACTGAGCACACACCCCTAACTTTTGCCTAGCTGGAAGAATGCTGCAAACTGGATCACCTCCACAGCCCTGTTGGTTATCTGCCTTCATAGCTGGTGTTATTATTCAAAAATACCAGACACAGTCAATCAAAATTATAAAACCATTGACTAGTATTATATTACAGACACACGTTTTACCTAAAAAATGCCCTACGTATATGTTAAATATTGGCACAATATTTATGCTGTTCCTAATATTGTCATTTTTGTAGCTCTGGTGGTGTTATTTCTGAGACTTGCAACTGCTTATAGTACTGTGTGAAATTCCTTGATATTGTTCCCAAACCACTGAACTATGTTTCATCCACAAGTGAGATGTTTCAATTGCCAGATCTCTATATTTTGGTCATTTTTCAAATTCTTTATTTTCATCTGGCATCCCTGGAATTGCAATGTCAATAACCCAGACATCATTATCATATATTATTAAAAATGTGTTTTGCCTGAAACACTCAGTTAATTCTCACCTTCTCACCAGGAGAAGGTGAGAAAGGGCTGAGTCAGTTAATTTGAAGTCATTGATTCAAAAAGATTAGGGGTGGCATGGGGGCAGCCCTGGAGTTTGTGCTGGACTCTGATCAGCACAAACGAGGTCTGTTGAGCTCCCTGGAAATGGAGGTTTTATCAGAGGAGGGAGACAAAGAGCAATAGACAGGGAATTGGCACACTGGGAAGATTAGGTAGATGGTTTTCCTATGACAATGCAAGAGGCTGCATTATTCTAAATCTCACTTAAGAGTTGATACAGATTTTTCAAATGCACAACAAGCTTTTGCCTTGGACAATCATTCATCTCTCAACTTCGGATTGGCATTTTAAGCTTCACTGTAGCCTTTTGCCAGTGTAGATATACAGTATTGCTCTTTGTAGCCCTTTCTAAACTTGGATTTAGACTTAAGTTTCTGCTTAACCTTTTTGGCAACAGTTTCGAATGATTTCTTAGAACAGGATGTAAGAACCTACAGGAGTGCTCTCCCCTTCCCCTGTCCTAGAGTCAGCTGATGAAGTTAGTAAGGGATTCATTCTCTTCTTGATTGTTGGCTGCCTTAACTGTGCCCTTGTTTTAGCTTCAGCTGATGATTTGTATATTTATCAGTATGAATGATGTAGCAAGATATATGCCTGGCTTTAACTTCTTCCATGTCTAAATGCTGGACTCACATTTGTGCTTCTCTCCTTTTTATATGATACTTTCTCACTGAACAGAGGTGTTTTTCCGTTGGGGCTGTGCTCATGCTCTGGAGCTAAGTTCTGGAGCAAAACTGTCTTAAGTTTAAAGTTCTGGTGAGTTTCCCTCATCCACTGCTGCAGCCAATTAGAGAAGGATGGCCTTCTACCCAGAGAGGGTAGCAGTCAACTCCTAACTAACACTGTCTTCTGTTCAGTGTTGTATGTCACATGAAGTTTTCACTCTTCTGATTTATACTTGTCTGGAATGTATATGTAACTGGTTCAGATCACTGATGATATCCAATGTTTGTTTATTCAGGACATTAGTAGATAAGTCCTGGCAATGAGCCAGGCCTCATTTTGCTTAATCATTCTGCTTACTGTGAGAAATGTTACAGTCGGAGTACACCACAAAACAACACAAGAGTATTGCTGCTAGCTTCAACTTGCACTTTTATCTGTCTTTTGTGAGAGACGGGTAAGGTTCTTGAAAAAAAATACAAAATCTGGACTGCCTCTGTGATTCCAGCACTTTCACAAGACGCCTTAACCTTCAAAACACAGAACAGGAGGTTTGTTTTAAGTCATCCGTATCAACATGAATACTGGTAAATCATATTTGTATTAACAAATCAAGGGAGAGAATAATGCTTATCAAACACACCTCTTTTATCAAATTGTTTTCCAGACGAGGCTTTCCCTGAGATTTACAAACCAAGGTGAAAACAAGGAGAAGGTGCAAGGTTAGAGAAAAAACTGCTGGAGCTTGCAAATGATCTCGCAGAATGGCTGTTGGCCACTTAAAAGGGCCATAGATGAGTGGTTTCAGAATAGGGTTGTAGGTGGCAGCTGTAGTCCTGTATCCATTTACTTAAAGCAGAGACTTTTGCCATTGCTAGGCTACCTCCAAGAGTAAATGGTTACCATCCACTTGTAATGTAAAAATCTGGAGATGTAAGTACATACAGCAGTGCTTCCTAATCTTGGGTCTGCAGGTATTCTTGGACTAAGAGTTTCTGGGAGTTGTAGTCCAGGAACATCTTGGGATCCAAGGTTGGGATGCACGGATGTACTGCACGGATTGGCAGTTTGGATGACTCTCTTGATGCTATTGGGCTGCTCTTGGCCCATGGCAGCAGAGTTGGTGCTGAGGAAAAATTGGAGATCTTGCTGAACATATGGAAGGTCACACATTCCTCAGCCATGGTCCATGGATTTCTTTATGTCTCCTCTGTTCAGATTACCTTTTTCTTCTTTCAGGTCCTTCACACTTTTTTAATCTATGTCTCTCTGCCCTCATACTCCTATTTGCACCAGTTCGCCGAGTTTAGCACCCCCACTTTTTCACTTCCCCAGCAGTCTGTGTGCTGGTTAATTCAAGTGGAGTGTGCCCACAATCTCTAGAGGGCTTTCATTTCATTTCAATAAACTTACCTCAGGGCTGTGCTTTTATTTATTTTCTGAGGGTTTGTTCTGGAATGAAATAATCATCCCTGTTGAGGCAAGTGGGGGCGGCAGCGGCTGGAATATATGTCCAGAAGGTTAGCCAAGTGAAGATTTGGTTTCCAGCCTTGGGCCCCAGCTTTTCTGCTTCTCCCTTTCTCCTTTTAATTGCCACCACCACCCACATTTAGCCGAGCAACGCATGCAGATAGCGATTGGCTGAGATGTGGGTGGGTAAGCAGACGCCCAACACTTGGCTTACAGACATCTTGTGAGCAGTTTGACCGTTTATAGACCAAATTTAAAAGCCAGACAGCTCATCATTTGGCCAAGCTAGTGGCTGGGGTAAATATAAAAATATATGCAGTGTTGATTTTTAAAAACTCTTTTATAACAAGCTGAATCCACAGCTCATGTAAGGGCAGGTTCACATATTCAGAAAAACAAAATCTGTGGCTTCAATATGCCGCTGAAGGATCACATTGTTATCAGCCAGAAGTCCTGTTTCCAGGCTGTGTACAGATAAGGAGAATGATCTCCTAAAAACAAAGGCAATCGTTTTAATACATGCAAATAGACGTTCTTATTTGAGTGAACATTCAAATGTGCAGCTCCTCACCTGCATTTCAACTGGACCATTACTTCTTGCCCAGAGTCTATAAATGTTCGTTTACATATTACAGCTTCCAGAATCTTCTACCCTGTGTAGCCAACGCTACAGGATTCTTGTTGTCCAAGCAAGCAAGCAAGCCCTTTCAGGGTTCCGCGTCTGCTAAATGTACAGACTGTTTTTCTGCACTCAGTGCTAGTAAATAACATATAAAAGATTCCGTAAGTTTCTGTATGCAGTCTTTCGCAACGGACTTGGCTTTTGCCTGCTTTATGAAGGAGGTGGTGCAGGTTTCTGCGGAATCACTACTTTTATTAACCTAGTGTTTAAAAATCCAGTCTGGTCTTGAATGTTTGCAGTCAGAGTTCTTTATGTTAGATCCTCCAGTGCCAGCTAAGTCTCAGGAACTTGATTTCAGCCAGTTGATTCTCTGATGCCTGTTGCATTTATGAGACCGGAGTGAGCAACCCACATTCATAATGCAGCCCTCAGCCAACTTTTGGAAGCCCTCTGAAAGTGAAACATTCAGACCCTCAGAAGAGCCAGGTGTTCCCCCTTCAGTGTCTTATTTGGTATGAAGGAACTGGAGAGGTGGAGAGATGGAATGGTGGAAACCCCACTACCCCTGGCATGCAGCCCCTGGCAAATTACCCTTAAAGGGATGTGTCATACAACTGAAAAAAAATAGGCTTACCACCAGAGTGTGGAGAATTGCCATTTTGAAGGCAACTATAACTAAGCATGAATTTGACCAAACTGCAGTAGGCAGTGGAAGACAGGAGGGCCTGGTGTGCTCTGGTCTATGGGGTCACAAAGAGTTGGACATGACTTAACGACTAAACAAAAAAAAACAAAACTAAGCACTGGTAGGATGATGGTCTGGAACCCAGAGCAGCATCCTACCACTGCTTGGTTAGAGAGGGCTGTGGCACGGCATCATATTCATTCATCTTAAAAGTAAGTTTTTAAGGTTCTGCCTCTACCCCTGGATTAGATTATTGAGATTTAGCTTCCCCTTCCACTTAGTGCCCCCTCTCATGCTTTTTAGCCATCAGGCCTTGAATCCGTGCTGTTAGAGCTCCATTATTACAGTCAGTGTCTGCACTGTCAAAATAAATGAACGTATCCACTCTGCAGAAGGTATACTATGCCATGGCACAAGTCGGCTGCATTCTGACATGATTGCTTCTCGTTGATACCAATAGAAGAAGTTAGTTCGAAGTAAAAGCCCTGTTGCGTTCAATGGGAACTAGTCATAATTAAGCTCAGCTGAACTAGAGTTGTGTATTTATTTGCAACACCACCATTGCTGCTGCTGCTGGAGTGGCTGAGGGTGTGTTTAATGCTGATTAGCTGCTGGAATGTTTAGCGAGTGTATGGGGATAGCCATTTCCCTATAAAGCAGTGGCACCTGTCCCCTACCCGTCAGTCTGCTGCTGTGTGTTGAACTCCAACTGGTTGTTGTTCCTGTCACTCAATAGGAGAGAAAAAAAGCCCTTTCAGTCACCAAGAGAGCTTTCGTGAATGTTCTGTATTTCTCTTAGAGCAGTGCACGTTGAATGTCTTACGCACGTTATATGCTCACAGATATTTAAAACTTGTTGATAGAGCTATGTAATATTGAACCAGATTGGCTGGATATTTTTGTCAAGAAGATCCTGCCCTTTCTGCTTTCCTATATATCTGAGACACAGATCAGCTGTCTCAATAAACCTTTGTTTTTCAGGTACCCTACTAGTTCCTTATCAATCTCACCAACATCATTTAGCTCAGCCTGAGGTGTAGGCCTTGATGCTCATTGCGGAATCAAAATGTGGATGTTGAACTGGAAGGTAAGGACTCTTTTAATTGGTAAAACCTTGCATGCAAATTTTCAGACCAAAGGCTTTGGAATTAATTGTACTTTGGCTTCTAAGTGGATGGATGCTTCTGTGAAGAGAGCAACATTCAAGAACATTTGCTTCTCTCTACCCCTATAGTACAAGCACACTGTTTTGTGAGTTGTTGCCATAGTTTTGTTTTGAAATTTCTTTTACAGTATTGTCGATATCAGACTGTTCTCTTAGTTCTCAGCTGTCGGTCAACTAGAACATGCTGAAATGGCTGAACACCTGTTCCAAGGTCTTTTGTCTTATGCTCTTTGTCTGTGCCTTTTCAGTAATGTTTTTCTAGCTCAGTGGGTTGCAACACCTGACCTTGGAGCCAGGAGCTTGAAATATCCCTGTGTCTCTGGGGAGACGGGCCAGTCAAGTTCTCCAAGAGTGTGAGTGTCCAATGGAGTTGAGTGCCCTAGCATCTGTGTGATCATGAGGAAGCTTGTGATCCGAGAGCATCACGAAAAGGAGGGACCTTTGAGTTCTTTACTCCTAGAAATTGCTAGGAAGGTTGCCATAAATTGGATTCAGTTTAATGGCACGTAATAATTATTCTTCCTAATTCTGCCTTTAGTTTGATGATGTCCACATGCCCACTGGGGCATTGATGCATATAAAAATGTACTTGTCACTGCACATTTTTTGCATTACAACATTTGGCTGTTTAAAACAAAGAATTGCATAATCATATGTATGTTTCATTAACAACGTTTCAGCTGATGCAATAAAGGTGTAGAGAATTGGCCTTACAGAATATTGGCTGCTAGAAAAGTTTTAAAAATGCCACCTAAACCAGGGGTGGGGGATCTGCGTGCCTCCAAATATGGTTGTACTCCCAGATCAGCAAAAGGTAGCTAAACATTCTGTGGGCCATGGGGATGGGGATTTGAAACTACTTTTAACTACTGCTTATGTTATTTACATTTTAAATAGAGCCCAAGACCTCATGCTAAGTTTTGAGGATTTTGGATTGAGGATGCTAAGTCTAGTATTTTTAATACAAGGAAGCTCAGAAGACAATATTTTTGGTATGCTAACTATTAACCATGCATTACATGCTGTCAGGTCAGATATGATGCTAGTAAGGATTTTTAAGGCATTTAAGGAGTGCCATTACCATCCTTTCCCCCATGAGTTTCCATGGCTGAGCAGGGACTTGAACCCAGATCTTCTGAGTCCTAATCTATCACTTTCTCCACTTCATGACACTGACACAGTAGTTATCTAGGTTTCATTTTTCATTTTAGTTATTTGGTTCCTTGTAATTGGTTTTCACTACAGATATGCTTATTGTATTTTTTTTCTGATCGTAAAAATGATGTATAAATAGCATATATAATAATTGTAATTGTTGGTTGTGTACAGCTAATGAAGTTCCCATGTGGGAAATCAGTGTTGGTTCCCCAAATCCTATACTTCACTACTAGGTGGTGAAATAAGAGCAGGGGAACCAAGGCTGGAGTGCTTTTAAGCCAGATCTTGAACCTTCCTAGGGTTTAGGCTATAGCACTTGTATTCCCTACCGTTTAGTCATGCTGGGTGGGACGTCTGGGAGTTGTAGGAGGCCAAAGCTTCCCCATCTGGTTAGGTGAATGGAGTGAGTTTAATTGTACTTAGCTGTACTTATCTTCTATTGGGACAGGACAGCCAGCAAGCATATGCAGATGTTCCCATAAATTGTATTTAAGCATATGCAGATGTTCCCATAAATCGTATTCTTGAAGGCTTTCACGGCCGAGATCTGATGGTTGTTGTAGGTTTTTCAGGTTGTTTGGCCATTGGCCAAACACCCCAAATAACCTACAACAACCTTCCCATACATTGTTTATACTTACAGGGTGAAGGGTGAAAACTTGAACCTTGATTGTATTCTTACTTCAAGTCTAGCTTTTAGTTATTTAAAATGATAATGTGCTTTGTCTCTCTACTTTTACTGTACACTGATGTCTAATGCTGATGCTAATGTTCTGATGCCAAATAATGGACTTCGCAGAATGCTGTTGTCCAGATTTTTCCAGGGAATAGGTATAAAACACACTGTTAAATTTTAGGCAAATTATGCATTGTTTCAGAACTAGAGACTCTGAACTAGATGTGTGTACATTTGTGTTTTCCAATGCTTCCAGGAGTATTCTAGGAGTTATATTGCAAAAATACACACCTGCACCTCTCTTTTTACAACCTCTGACTGTGAGGACTCAGAAACAACCAACACTGGCTTTCTGTTCAGAAAGAAAGCTTCCAGATAGAACTGGGCAAAAAACAGGAAACTTAGGTGGAGCTGGGCCTAACTAAATCCCGAAGTTTCCCAGTTTAGGCCTTTTCTCCCAGGTAATCTGATTTAGCTGTCTGTAAGGTTTAAGTCAGGTAGAACTCCCAGAATAGGGCGCTATGCAATAGGTAGTCCAAAAAAATCTTAAAGTCCCATCTCTAGCCAATACTTAAGAGAGTATGACTCTTGCTCTTAAAACACTAGTAAGACTTTCTGCCAACATGTAAGCTTTTTTCTTTTTCTACTCAACTTTTTAAAAAATGTACTAAAATGGACTGTATATTCCTCCCTTGTGCAACATTTCTTCAGATATTCCCCCCCACACACACACACATTGGTGTATCATTTGTAGTTTGAGGAAAGGAAGAAAAGTAGCACACCCATAACAGAAGGAAATGGCATTCAAAAATATGAATGCAAATTCCTGGAAATGTCTTGCTCAGCATTTACCTAGGGTTTCTAAGAGACAATGTGCTGCAGAAGTTTTCTTGGCAGTTTGACCATCAAGATTGTGAGCCCCTAAAATGAATCCTGTTGATGTGCTGGCATTTGCATGAAAACACCATTCAAACACATGTACATAAAAATGGAGGTTCTTCTCTTTTACAGTTTTGGTACCTGAAATCTGTTGTGTATGATAGACCCTGTTATTTTGTTCGCTGTGGTGAATATACATATCAAAAAAACCAGTATGTGTTTTCAGGATATAAAGGATTCTATATTTTCTTAAAATGCATAAGGTTCTACACTTTTTTAATGTCACTCTTGCCATATGATACAGAGACATGTTGCAGGCAACATTTTAAAAGCCTGTAATTAGAAAGCAATGCAGATTCTGATTTGTTCAAGAGCTTCCTCTTTTAATATAGTTAGCATGATTTAAAAAATCCATGATTACTTCACAGTTTTGAAGGCATTCTGAAACACTGCAGTAGCTGTAAACAGGTACTTGTGCACTTTATATACACTTGTTCATAATGCCCAGTTTATAGTTAGTTCTACTGCTGTTATTATTGCAGATAAAAGTATGTATTTGCATATATTTGTTTCTTCTCTTATAGGCTCTGGAAAATTTTCCACTGTTGTTGTATATTCTGGCTGCCAAAACATTAATTCTTTGCTTAGCTTTTGCTGGAGCAAAAGCCTATCAGAGGAAAAGGCTTGAAGAAAAAATGAAAAGAGAACAAGAAGAAAGACTGAAAAGAGAAGGCAAAAAAGAAAACTGAGGATTTTTGAGAGGTATGCTTGGGCTAGAAGGAATGATGCCTGATATTATGGAACTGTCTTTCAAAGAGGGGGACAAATAACCTCACTCCTATGTGTTAAAGAATATATGAAGGACATTTTACATATTATTAAGTAACAATGGGATTTTCAGAGTTCTTGGACTATAAATTTTACAGTTCCACATTCTGGGAGTTCTGTGTGACTTATAGACACCTAAATATCATTCACCTGGGAGAAAAGGACTAATCTGGAAGGCTTTGAGACTTAGCTAGGCTTAGCTCTGCCCAAGCTTCCTATTCCTGCCCCAGTGCTAACTGGGCGCTTTCTTTGTGAACAGGATGCTAGTCAGAGTTTGGCTTAGCTAGGCCTCCACTGCCCCAGTGCTAACTGGGAGCTTTCTTTGTGAACAGGATGCTAGTTGGAGCTTGGCTTAGCTAGGCCTCCCATGTAGGCTTTTTCTCTCAGGTGAACCATGGTACATTGGTAATGCACGCATGCACACATTATACAAATACAAGGATGATACCAAAAACCAAATATTCATGGCTGAACGTGGATAACGCCTAGGGCTGTATGACTGAAATTTCTCCCAGACCTGCAAATTCTGATGTGATGGACATATCTTAGTAAGAATTATTTTGTAATAATTCATAACAATCCAAATCAGCCATGTGGTTTGAAGCAAAGGAAGGCTCACAGGCTGTGTCCAGCAGACCAGGCGAAATACCTTACGCCCTCCCCCCACCCCAATGAAAAGCTCTCATTCATTCCCTGCTGTGTCCTTAACCATGAGCTTTGAAGTTTGGAGAGATCAGATAAAGGACTGCAGGAAAGGAGGAGCTTTGTGGTGTCATGCCTATACTAAGGGAGAAGAGGGGGCTCCTTAGGTCACAGTAGGAAAAATTGGCACTAGAGATGGGGACGAACTGCCACAATAGTGGTTTGTGGGTCATCGAGGTTGACAACTCACAATCCACAAATTTCCCCAGGGATTTCTGATGAACTGCCTGTGGCTGTCTTTTAAAATAAAAAAAGGGGGGGAGCTGAATCTGTAGCTCCATCTTGAGGCACAATAAGAGTGAGGAATTATAGAATCCTACAGAGGTCCAGTGTTAGCATTGGAGCTACTTTTCCTGCTGGCACCATACATGGCTTTCCATGTGGGAAGACTGATCTTTTTTATCAGCTACTGAAAATCTAACTGTTCTTTTTGTGCAGATTGTTCAGCATTTCCCAGTTCACATGGATTCCTTTCCTGGGAGAGTTGAAGACTTCACTGAAACGGAATGCTATGCCAGAGAATGAGTTTCCCAAGAGGGGACATTTATTTAAACCAACAATGTATCATTTTAAAAAACATATAAGAATATTTTGTCAGCTATTTATACAATAAAAAATTCCTTTTATAAAACTGGTTTTAAATCTCTTACTGGAAGTTCTGTAGGTATAGTTGTCATTATAAAAGAAAAAAAATTCCTAATGATGTTAGCACCTCATAACTAAATACGTGAAGTATTTTTCTCTAAACCCGATTTATTTGTAAATTTATTTGCTTTTTTTAAAAACAAAGGTTCATTCATTCATTCATTCAATTTGTACCCCGCCTATCTGGTCAAACAACCACTCTAGGCGGCTTCCAGACAGGTAAAATATAATAACATATACATATAACAGAAAATAAAAATATTGTATACAGAAACATTAAACAATAAACAATAAACAAAATCCTCCTTTACTTTTCCTCTTTGGTCGAAGGTTCTGCTTATATACTGCCCCATAGCACTTAAAGCACTCTCTAGGTGGTTTACAAGTTAATGATGCAGGCTACACATTGCCCCCAGCCCAAGCTGGGTACTCATTTTGCTGATTTCAGAAGGCTGGAAGACTGAGTGAACCCTGAGCCAGGGTTTGAACCCTGGGCCATGAGCACAGTTTTGGCTGCAGTACAGCAGTTTAACCACTGCACCACGAGGCTCTTCATTTTCTTTTAATTAGAAGAAGAGGAGAATGTGCCCTTTCAAAACAAACAAATGTAGAAATTGCAAAGAACATCTTACTCTACAGGAATGGCACATTTAGTACAGAGGAGGGGGAAATTGATGTAGTATATACTGCCATCTTCTGGAAAGAGGGGCAAGCTGCTCTAGCAGCCAGTGTTGCCAAGGATGAAGGCTGGGAAATACAGGAACCTGCCTTGGTTTGCCTAGCGCAGTGTTGTCAACACTGGTGGTAGTTTTCTGGGGTTTCACCCCCAGTTCTTTCCTAGCTGTACTTGAAGATGCCCTGGGAGCTTCTCCATGCAGAGCAAATCTACCACTGAGCTATAGTGGTCAGTCTAAATATAGAAACAAACACATGGGAGCAGGGGGAGAACTGGAGCTGGAATATTGAACCTTAAGGTGGGCACCTTCCAGATGTTGCTAGACCACAAATATCTAGGGGCCCTGTCCATCATAGCTAATGGTGAGGGACATCTGGAAGGCTACAGTGGCTGACCATGTGTGGTGTTCACCCTTATTATGTTTAGTAGTTATGAATATTCTTGTTGTAGGCTAATGTTGCTCGGAGGCGGAGCCGAGAGAAATGTAATAAAGAGGCGGAGTCAGTAAGAGTCAGAGTGAGAGAGTGGAGAAGGAGGTAGAGTGTGATATTTTGGGAGATCTGAGGTGATTAGAGTGAAACATGAACAAGAACTGTAATGACAAATAGAAGGTTGAAACTGATGATAATAGAAGTTACCTATGATTAATAATAACATCTGTAATCAATAAACAAGTTTTAGTTCAAAAACAGTGAAGTTTGGACCATGCTTCCATAATTAAAGTTGATTTAGTGATCAACTGGTGGCAGCGGGGTAAAAAGGAGTAGTAGTTTGCCTTCCTGTGCCCTGTGTTTGGAGGATCAGGCAAGGGGCACGAGGGCGAACGCCACACCATGACCTTGACAGTGAGGCCCGTAGAACACCTTGTCCACAGACTAATACTCTTCCCCCTCTCCCCCATCCAAACTGGAAAGGCTGAATACCTGTAACACACATTTGTGTTGCTTTTTTCACAGAGGTCAGCAGGGCATGAGGGAGCCTGCACTGGTCTTTTCACATTGTTGGAGCATTGCATGCTCCTCTGCCATTGTGTGATCCTTGTGTGAATTGTCAGGAGGGTGAAAAGCTGATGAGCATTTGTTGGCCAGATGAGGGAGGAAGATAAACATAAAGATGGAGAGAGATGGAGAAAAGGGAGTGCCAAGAGTGTGGGGAGAGGAGGCAGGGAGGGGGGGTCAGGAAAACAGAAGTGCAAGGAGCCTGATGGCACAGGATTGGGGAATGGGAAGGCCTCCAGTTGTTGGATCCCAGCTCCCAGCATAATTAACCATGTGGACAATGACACAAAACAAAATCCCACTGGAAGTTATTTAACAGTTGAGGGATTTTTTAAAAAAAACTATTTTCAGGAAAGAGGTCATGGAAATGATTGTCCTCTTGATGAATGGTGACACAGCAATCCGCTCTGCCTTTGCAGCATCAGCATTCAGGAATGGCTGCTCTATGATTGGTAACACAATGCCCTGGTTTCTGAGTATTGCTCTTCCTGATGTCAGATTTCTGACCATTTAATCTTTCCTGCAGAGGAAGAGCAGGGAACACCTGGGAGTTCAGTCTAACAGCAGCATGGCATATGCTCAATACTATTGTCTGCCAGCAGTACTCTCTTCTATCCAAAATAGAACAACTATGTCAGTCTCCACTCTAGGAATAGGGAACCTGAAGCCTCCAAATGTTGGGGGAACTATACCTCCAGCCATCCATAGCTGCTGCCCATATTGATTGGAGTGAATGGTTAACAGTAGTCCAACAAAATCTGGAGGACCAGGTGTTCCCTGCTCTTCCTCTGCAGGAAAGATTAAATGGACAGAAATCTGACATCAGGAAGAGCAATACTCAGAAACCAGGGCATTTTGTGTCATTGTCAACAGTATTTTGTATATGGTGTTTGCACTAATTTTAGATATGGAGGTCCACATCCTCTTAATCATAATAATTACCTGCCATCAAGATTTGTGGTGGCCTTTTACAGGCTTTTCTATGTGTAGAGCACCTGGAAGTATTTCACCATTCCTTCCTTCTGGGAATACTTTGGAATAGTTTAGCTTGCCCAAGACCACACAGGCTGGTTATTCCACTACAGTAGTTTCTAATTTTGGGACTGCAACTGCCAGTAACCCTGGCCAGCACAGCTGGTGGTGAAAGCTTCCGGGAATTGCAGTCCAAGAATACCTAGGTTACTCAAGTTTGGGAGCCACTGTTTTAATACAAGGCACAATGAGGAATCAAACATATATTCTAAGAAAGAAGCATCTACATCATTAACGTGGTTTTTGATTTAGACATGCACCTAACATGATGAGAACCTTCCCTCCTTGCTAACACGCAACACCAGAAGGAAGCATCTACATCATTAACGTAGTTTCTGATTTAGACATGCACCTAACATGATGAGAACCTTCCCTCCTTGCTAACACACAACACCACGTGATTATCTGAGATGTGTGACATGGCTTCGTAGCTCAGTGGTTTAGGTATCTGGCTTCGGAGCAAAAGGACACACAACACCACGTGATTATCTGAGATGTGTGACATGGCTTCGTAGTTCAGTGGTTTAGGTATCTGGCTTTGGAGCAAAAGGTTGAAAGTTCAGTTCCCCAGCATGCCTCCTATGAGCAGAACCAGCCTGTATGGCCTTGGGTAAGCTGCATAGTCTCCGGGGTGCCCCAGAAGAAGGGAATGGTAAACTACTTTTGAATATTCCTTACCTAGAAAACCCTAAAAAGGGTCTCTATAAGTCAGAATTGACTTGGTGGCACATGATGGTGATGATTACCTGTGATGAAAACCTTGATAGCTATGATGGTTCTTTCTAACCATTATGTATTCATTCCAATGATTTCATCTCTGTCCTGAGCAAGATATTTTTTTTTTAAAAAAAGACTTTGCTGCAGAGGTTAAGCCCTTGAATTATGTATCATCAGATGAAATGCGTATTAAAAATGCAATATAGCAGAACTGTTCATGACTAAAATACTTTGGACAGATCCTCACAATTTTTTCATTATTGTAATTCACATCAATCTCATCCAGATTTCCACTTTTTTATGCAAAATTATTTGAACTCTTTAGGCATTTCCATTTTAGAAGGAAAACTGAGAAACGACTGTGATACTCTTTTATGCTGGAGGAGACTGTGAGAACTGTAGACGTTTTTCAGGTAATATGACAATTTAATTCAAGAAGTATTACTCGATTGAACTGCTTCTTCATACTACTTGGCATTAGTCTGCTATTAGAAATACAATACCAAATGCAACGGGAATTGAATGTCATAATGAAATCTAGTCTTTACTACATCCATTTCAAGGGAAAATGCTTTTGCTAAATTAGTAATTAGGAGCTGAATCCAATTAACAACTTACTAAGTCATCACTTAGGTCAGTGGTTCTTAACCTTTTTGAAAGAAACGCCCCCTTGAGCCATTGAGGAAGTCATCATTGACCCCCTCCTTGAGGTGGCAGCCACCGCCCAGGGAGGGGGCAATGATAACTTCCTCAATGGCCTGGGTCTCACTTCTTTCCACCTCCCCCCCGCCACACACTCAGAAACTAAGCAGCAGCTTCCGCTTGGCTTTTGGGCTGGCCCTGGAGCCGCTGGCGCCTGAGGGGGAAAATGGCCAGCGCTTAGGCTGCGGCGGTGGAGAGAGGGGTGATGGTGGGAAGGATGGAGAACCATTGTGAGGATGGGAATGCAGCATGGAGCCTTTGGGGTGGGGGACACTTCTCTCATGAGAAGAGAAGACTTCCTGGAAAAGACACTGATGTTGGGGAAAGTGTGAAGGCAAGAGGAGAAGGGGAGAACAGAGGACAAGTGTCATCGAAGCTGCCAACATGAATTTGACCAAACTCTGGGAGGCAGTGGAAGACAGGAGGGCCTGGTGTGCTCTGGTTCATGGGGTCACGAAGAGATGGACATAACTTACAACTAAACAACAACAACACTTACTCTATTGCTTTTCTGCTCTGCAGTGATACAACTGGATACTGGTCATGGTTTAAAATCCCCTCAAAATTATTCTTTTTATTAATTATTAACACAGTTGATTTGGACTTTGGAAGATGAATATACTGGTAGGTTTCATATAACAGTTAGTCAGCTTTTAATCAAAGATGGCCAGGGAAGTTTAGGAAAACTTATCCAAGTAGTAGTTTTCCCACCTCCGTGTTTTACTAACAGCCGCCTTCCACTTGTTTGGCGTCATTCTTTCTATTCCTTTTACAATCAAGTCACTGAAGAGGATGCACTGGTAGGAGGAGGATCTTTCGAAGGAGGCCAGAGAAAACTCCTTTCTGTTATTGATGATGAACCATTTCAGTGATGACCAAGCAGCATCTATAGGGTGCAGATAGTTGTAGGAGAAAGGCACAGTGAGAAGTTTGTGACCTGTGGCCTCAGCCGTCTCAGGGCAGCAGTTCATGCACAGTAAAGAAGGGGCAGATGTGGCCTGGGGTTCAGTTATCTCCACCTCCTGCCTGGACTCTTCAGTCTTTACTCTTGATGGTCTTCTTTCTCGGACCACAATGGCACACTTTCCATAAGTGATGGAGAGAAAGTCACAGAATTCCTGAAAGACTTCTTGCTGGCCTAAGGGCAACTCATTCCTTAGAAACACTCTATATCTCCAGGGTACCCATCCTTGGCTATTGCCAGCATGTACAATAGTCCATTTGGGCCAGTTGAGAGTATCTTCATGAGAAACCTTTTCTCCTGTTATTAGGCTTTCTGAAATATCAGTTTCTCCTAAAAAGATAGTGTTGTAGCCCTTAAACTGCAGAGTTCTTAGGGCTTTTAAATATTGCAGACATTGTTGCCTTGAAGTAGCATCATGGGAATACCGGTAAATGATGTGCTTTAACAGTGGATTTACAACCCGATACATCTTGGGTTTTCAGAGGAAAACTGAAGTGCATAGAAAGTTCTGATGATGCCCAAGGCAGTGATGATCTCATAATGGACCTCCCTTGCATATGTTATTCAGTCACAGCTCCACAAAAGCTGAGCAATGCATTCACTTGTTTTAGTGGATAAATTGTGGCGAAAAATAAATCGCAATGGTGGAAAATGAGGCATTACTGTTTTATTGTTTGCTCCTGGACTCTGGAACTCCCTCCGGTGGGAGGCCAGGCTGTCCTTCAACAATGCAAAGACCTTTCTTTTCAGGCAGGCTTTCCCTTACGAACTGGCTATCTAAGAAAGTTTTTTTTTTTCAAAGTGTTGTGTGTATTTTTTTTGTTTTTCAATCTATTTTAGTAATGTATCTACTATTTTTAATATATTGTTTAATGTTTTTAAAATATTCAGATAACTTTTAACATTGTTAAATAGCTTTTAAGATTGTTTATTTTTAACGAAGTAGGCCATCTTGGGTTCTTTTTATGAGAAAGAATGGGTAAAGAAATAATTGTGCGCCTGTCAAGTCAGTTCTGACTTAAATTGGCCCTTTCCAGGGTTTTCTAGGAAGAGAATACCCAGAAGGGGTTTACTGTTTTCTTCTTCTGGGGGCATCCTGGGACTGTGCAGCTTGCCCAAGGCTATGCAGGCTGGCTGTTCTCCCAGGAAGTATAATGGGGAATTCAACTTCCAGCGTCTGGCTCCAGGTATCTAAAGTAGTGAGCTATCCAGCCAGGTCCTCCATCTTTCGATGACAGAAATAAGGCAGAGTAAGTTACAGATATGCATGGCTATTTAAAAGCTAGGAACATTTTCTCCTGGTTAAGAGACAGAGAGAGAGAGAGAGAAGAGGCAGAGTATAGAATATTATCTGTTGAACACTGTTACAAGGCCTTCAAAGGGAAGCAGGTACTGGCTGGGAGTGAAAGTCAATGGGATATCTAATCTGTCTGTCTCTGAATTCTTGGATCATCTTCTGTTTATTTTATGTATGGATCAGTGAGGTTCAAATAATGAATAATTTCCCCCTTCATATTTGTTTCTCTGTATTTAAATATGTGCAGATCTTAAAATGAAAATAAATGTTCCCATGATTTGTAAATACCTCTCATCCAGCTGAATGTGCTTGGCTAGCAGGAAGCCCGGGCAACAAATTCAGTTGCATAAATCTCTGGCACTTCTAGAATAATGCAGTCCCACTAGGTACATCATCACGTCCATACCTTGGTAATTCTCCATTCATAAATATTCATGCATGTTGTCGGTATTTGACTATCATGGAGCAGCAAGCAGGAATTATTCAAGTTCAAAATTTCTAAGGAAGTTGAATTCTCTCAAATAAATACTGAGGCAACCCGAGGAAGTTTGCTCCTGTACACAAATCCAGAGTTAAGCTGTGCTGAAGATGAGTGTTATGTGTCAAATAAATGTCTTTGCCTGCTGGCAGAATTGCGAGAGAGGCAGAGAAATAATCTAGCCTCCCTTGGCAGCGTCTAGGAGCAACAATAGAAAAGATATTCTCTTGTGTCCCCTCCACCTGCACCTGCAGTGGGGAAACTGAGATAAAGGTCTCCTCTGAGTATCTTAAAACTAGGGTAGTATTTCAGGCAGCCTGACTGCAAGTCACAGGAGGTTCTGTAGGTCATGGCCATCACTCTGACTTGTGTTCAGACTGGTAGCCTGGAAAGCCATCATAACAAGGAAGTCATAGGGTCCTTGTCACTTGTTCTAGTCAGCTGTCTGTGTGCAGCATTCCAGATTACCGGAAGTTTGTGGACACTTTCCAAAGGCAGCCCCATGAAAACACTACAAGGCCAAACCTGCATTACCCAAGAACAGGGACATTTGGTGCATTAGCCTGAGTTTTACAAATATATTCTTGGCCACCTCTGAAACTGGCGCATTCAGGTTCAGGGCTGAGTCCAGGAGTACATTAATAGTATGAATAACATTAATAATATGAACTTCAAGTACAGTGGTGCCTCGCTTAATGAGCGCACCGTTTAATGATGAATCTGCATAGCAATGTGTTTTTTGCGATCGCTAATGCGATCGCATTGCGATGTTTTAATAGGCAAAACATCGCATTGCAATGATTGGTAAGCATTTCGCTTACCGATCTTCGCATTGCGCTGTTTTGGGAACAGCTGATCGGCGGCTCCAAAATGGCCGCTGGGTGCAGAAAATGGCCGCCCGCAGCATTTTCGTGCCCTGCCCTCGCTTACCGGGCAGCGAAAATGACGGCCGGATGGATAGCGGTGAGTTTTTCCCCAATAGGAAAGCATTAAACGGAGTTTAATGCGTTCCTATGGGGTTTCCCCCCCGCATAGCGACGAAGCCGGATAGCGACGTTAATCCTGGAACGGATTAACGTCACTATGCGGGGCACCACTGTATACAGCCACCAAGCACAGGCTGAATCCTTGCTCCCTGGTCTGCCTTTCAACTGACCAGTAGCACTTGTTTCTTCTCTGGTCTGACTTTCAATTTGCCTGTAATGAACCAGTTTATTGCTGGCAGCAGACACTGATTTAGGACAGGAGTGGGCAGGTTATGGCCCTCTAGATGTTATGAGACTGCAGGTCTCAGCATTCCGCCTCATTGGCTCTGCTAGTTAAGGGTTAAGACAGGGCCTGCAGTTTGATTTAGAACTAGAATAGAGTCCTGGATTAGGTGGACAAGAGAGATGAATGAATGTGATGTGATCGTACTATTCAGATAGCAGTACTTTTGAAATTGCCTTTGGTTCACTGAGATCAGCACATTTTGAGGCACTGGTTAGATGTCTAAATTGTCACTTGCCCATATTCTAAATGAGCTTGGATTGTATGTATGTAGATTCTCTTTTAGGTCAGATTTGTTAATCTTTATTCTGCTTAATTTATCATTTTTGTAATTAATGGAAAAGACGATATTGCTAGGAAGGGAGAACAACCTAATATGAGATGTTGTTGGTTTGCATGATTTGAGCAGAGCTGTTAATGATTAACACATATAGTCACCTCATATCAGAAGTGACTTGATGGCACATCTTCGGAGTTTTTTTTTTTTTAAACTAATCAAATAATGTTATACTGATAAGCTGAGTAGAATGGCTGAGACTATGACAGGATATAGGCACCAAAGCTTTGCTGATATTGAGTAAGACTATCCCCAACCGTAAAGCAAAAAACAGTAATTTCACATCTTAAATAAGTGAGCTTTTGAATATTCATTCTGTATTCTTTTTAAAAATATCTTTTTAAATACTTTTACAACCAGACATATAATCCCTTTGCCAGCATTAATCCCTGTTTGGCCAGGAATGAATTAGAAATTCAACTGGGGCATGATTGATAAGGTCAAAAGTTCAGAATACCCCAGACCTGGAGCTGATTTTTCTCTTTGAAATCTGGTATCAGGAGCCTGGTCTCAGAAATCATGAGATTATGTTTACTGAAAGCGTCAGTGCTGGGACAAACAACTGGTCCTCACTTTTTAATGCAGAAATACTTTGAATATTCCTCACAAAATTGTATGCTAATGCCCTGAAGATGCATGGCAAAATTTCCCCTTTTTGGAGGATTGTCTCTCCATTGCTTTCTTTAAAGCAAGCCTTTTCTCTCTCTCTCTCTCTTTAATTTAAAACCTATCTTTTGATTCTGTTTCTGTGAACTTTAATTGTCCTACAGCTCTCCAAATAGTTTGCTTCCCCATCCATGAAGCTAGAACAATCTATCTGCTTTGATTCACACATACAAAAGTGTTTGCATAATTATGTTGTGAACTGGCCAGAGAATGCTTTAGCAGCACCATGGGGCAGCATGTAAGCCAAAACAACAACAACAACATGCTCAGTGTGATAACAATGTCATTGTTTCTCACATTTGAACAGCTGCTTTTGAGGACTAATATTACATCCCATACAGCCTGGATTCTTTCCAAATTTAAAAAAAAAAGCAGGTGGGGCCAACCATTCTCTTTCAAGATTGGTCTTTTTGATGCAACCATTCTCTTTCAAGATTGGTCTTTTCGATGTACATGAGCTATTTTAAATCTGGGGATGTTTGGGGTCACCTATTTCAGAAGGGGGTGAAACAGTTTTACATTTAAATAATCATAAATTGAAAACCTTTTCTGCAAACGTCCCCAAATTTCACACAGAGCAACAGCAGATTGTCGGCTACAACTATACCAATTTGGTGCTGGCTTGAAGCCTGATTTAAAAGTTTTTTGTTTGGATTGCATCATTTTTAGAAATGCTGTGTAGAATGTTGAATTGTTCTGCTAGCACAAAATCACTACTGCACTCTCCTGTAGCAATAATTGATCCACATCTTTATTTCACTGTACTGTATTCTGTTATCCATATCTTGACTTCACTCTATTCTGTAGCCCTGCCGGCAGCTCCCAATAATATGAAATTGTCAGAGGTGGGGGGAAAGTACTTTTTTTTTATAAAAAAAAATAACTCATAGAAGTCCTCAGTCTGCCATTGACATTAGTCTAATTTGACTCTCGAGTATTTTGGCAGTTTTGTTTACCTCCATGTCTTGTCTCAACCTGTGAAGGCTTCTGCTAGAGCATGTTCCCTGTCTTTGTTTTCACACACTGAGGACAATCATCCCTGTGAAGCATGAAATACAAAGTACTCCATAAATTTGAGTGCCAAAAAGACGAAAATGAAGACCACCCACAGAACACAGTTAGGAGGGGAAAATACTTATGCAAAAAGTACAGTTAACAAGGAGGGAAATTTATTTTCTTCTTTCATAACAAAACCACACAAGAAAATAAAAGTCATCCATGTTTGGGCATGGTTTTTAGGCTCTCATCAGAGAATCCTGTCCTGGGATGTAGAAGCCATTGTACTGGTTGCTCAGGATTTGATACTTTTACCAATATATAGTGTGTGGAAAGCTTGTGGGCAGAGGCTTTCTAGCAACTGGTCCAAGTTACTGGAACTTGAGGCCCACGCTTCATTCAGCAACAAGTATAGCTTAGAGTTAAAAAAAACAGGCAAGCATATCACATATCCAAAAAAAC